GGGGGGGGGGGCGCGGGGCACGGGAGGAGCTCTGTGTCCCTCTGCCCTGAGGGACTCCTTCCGAGGGCTGTTGCCATCATGGGTGCAGTGCAGGGCGCTGCTGTGAGTCTGCTGGACTAAAGATACTCTGGAGTTGGCCGGCGGGAGGGATGAAATCCTGATGCTAAGGATGGTTTGGTCCAAGCGGGACTGCAGGGCTGGACCCAGCGGTCAGCCTTTCGGTTCTGGGTTGTGGAGAGGCGGGAGGACATTCCTGGTACTGAGCATCCTGCAGTTCAATGGTCGTCACTTGTGCCTTTGTGTTTTCCCCCAGCAAGCAGCGCCACAATAAACTGTGGAAGCAGCAGGCAGAGAGCAACCTACCCCAGAACACAGACGGCACCATGGGCTCGGGCGACTTCTTACTCGAGAGCTTAGACATCGACCTAGAAAACCGCCTGGCTGACCTGGACACACCTTCGCAGCCGGCATACCTGGACAACCGTGCCGGCACAGAAACGTGTGTGGGGTTTAATTACTGCTTCCATCGCCTCTCAGACACGCTGCTGGAGAACAAGATTCCCGGTGACAGGGAAGGTTTTTTCCACGTGGAGGAGCTGGAGCGGGATGCGCTTGCGGAGCGCACTGCCTCGCTGGTGGGACAGCCTCCTTCTGCACCTTCAGAGGGAAGGCTGCTGGAAACAGCAAAAGCCCTGGAGACAGCAGAGCCGCTGGCAGAGCTGAGCAGTTTCTGCGAGAAGGAGGTGAAGAAGAAACTGGACTTCAGCCCCCGGAAGGGAAGGATACTGCTGGGCCCTGGGGACCTGGGGGAGGATGGTGTCAGGGAGGAAAATCCGATGGAGAAGTGGAAGCGGCGTTTGTCCATGCACAAGGAGGAGAGCAGGCTTAATAGAGAGAACTTGAATAACAACAACAGCAAAAGGAGTTGCCCAGAGGATTTTGAGGTGCGTATGGAGTTGAAATGTAGGTGATTAGCATGGCTGACTCTGCTGCAAGTGAAACTGCTCTTCTCATCTTCATAGCACGGTTTCATTTGATTTGGATAAAGCCTTTCATTCCATGATGAGCTTCTTCCTTTTCGAAGTGCTTCTGAACATTGTCTTTGCTTGCCCAAGCTATGGATTTAGATGCCAGAGAAAGAGCACACACATGTGAGTGCCCTATAAACCATTTCAGGCAACTTGCTTGCATGACCATCGCTTGAAACGGTAGGTATTCTTCTGTTGAAGATACTGTCTGCTGAGAAAGTTTGTGGGTTTTGTTCCTGCTGCAGGGCCTGAAGAGAAGTGGAGATGGGCTTCGTTTCAAATCTGCTTGGCTGTAAATATGTCTTCTGCTCTGTGCCTCTCACTCTTGCTGATCGCTGACATCCTGTTCTTTGCATATTTATCTGTACCCGTTTTCTTTTTTTGCAGCATGATGCCGTATTTGGGATCCTCAGTAAGGTGAAGCCTTCCTATCAGTCCTGCACTGACTGCATGTATTCCTCAACCAGTTTGTCTCCTGACTCCTTTGGGGAGCAGTGCGAAAAGTTGAACCCCGGCACTGTGCGTCGCAACGCTACCATCTGCACGCAACCAGCCCTCCTCTCCCACATCAATTCCAACTTGGCGGACCACCTGCCCAGCAAGGCACACTCAGAGGAAGCAATCAGAACTAAAAGTAACGAGGCTCCTCTTCCTCTGTCGGCAGGAACTGCTCCTTTGGAGGCTGACACTTGCAAATCGCTTGAGCAACACTGCAGCATTTTGGAGAAAGGAAAAGATGCACCAAAAACCCCGGTCAAAACTCTGCCACCCAGGAGAAACTCACACTGTGACAAGAGCCTCCTTAATGCAGAAGTGATAAAAGAAGAGTCTCTAGCCAGAAAAGACAGCAAACCTACCAAGGATCTGAAGTACTTGTTGTTCAGCAAAGACTTGGAAAAGCCAACTGCAAACAGTTACTTGATGCAGCATCAGGAGTCTCTTATTCAGCTGCAGAAAGCAGGCTTGGTTAGGAAGCACACCAAAGAGCTGGAGCGGTTGAAGAGCTTGCCCTCGGATGCCTCATCGCTGCTCAGAGAGAGCTCCCTCAGCAGAGTCGACTCCGGCATTGTGGAGGAAAGCGAGGGTTTGATTTCACATCACGGCCTCGTACCTTTCCTGGGACCAGCCCCATTGATACCCGAAGATGCGGAAAATGATGTGGAGAAGTTAGAGGTGAAACGCGTCTTGGAGGGGATCTCTCAGAAAACCTCCACACCTGTCATGTATCGGTTGGAGCACACGAGCAGTTTCACCAAGGACTTCTTGAAGACCATCTGCTACACCCCCTCCTCCTCCCGGAGCTCCAACCTGACACGTAGCTCCAGCAGCGACAGTATCCACAGCGTGCGGGGCAAGCCCGGCCTGGTGAAGCAGCGAACTCAGGAAATTGAGACCAGGTTGCGGCTGGCTGGCTTGACTGTGTCTTCTCCTCTGAAAAGGTCCAATTCTCTCGCCAAGCTAGGATGTCTTAACTTGTCCTCTGAGGACTTATCAAGTGACATGGACGTGTCAACTGTAACGGACTCAAAAGAGGCTGCTTCAAGCGAGTCTTCCGTGCTCTGTGAGCCACAATCCACGCTGAGGAGTGCAGACGTCACCTCCAAACTGGCAGTGAAGCCAGTGGTCGGAAACTTGAAGAACACGCTTTGGATGGGCAAAAGTTGATGCCTTCTGTGGGGGGAGTAGGGGGGTGGATTTTTGTTGTGTTTTTTTTTTTTTACGGCATTTATTCATTGCACCGGTGCAGTTTTATCGTCTGACTTGCAGTAGTTCATCTGATGCCACCTCTTCTTCCCTTCCTTGTACTCCAAGTGGGGAGAAAAAAAAACCGTAATGGGTCATGATGAATGGCACAAGGGAAAATAAAACGTTATTGCATGGCTTAGAAGAGGACTTTGTGTGTGAATTGCCTGTTGTCCTGCAGGATGCTATTTCTAGTACTGTTTGCCAAGTATAACAAGTGGTTGTGTATGTGTATATAGATAGATATTTGTATCTATTTATCTATCTATATATGTAAAATGCTGAAATACTCTGTTTCAAAGACTCAACAAAATAATTAGTCATGACTTTTTTTTGTTTTAACAGAACAAACACAAGTCTCTAGTTAAAACAGGGCACTTGTGGAAAAATCCTTAAAACGGTGACATGAACACTACCTCTGTTCTTGCTGACTTTTAGTCTTGGTTTGTTGTTTGGGTTTGGGGTTTTTTTTTAAAAGGCTTTTCCCACAATACTTAACTGTTGTTTGAAGGTGTTCCCGTAATGTTAACTGCAAAGGCCTGGAGGAGTACGGAGACAGAGGCTTTACTGCACCGAGTGACCTAGCTGTGAAGTGAAGGCGTGTCGAGCTGTGTTGGTGTTGACTGTGTGACCTGCTGGTGTTAGCCCGTCTTCGCTGCGTGACCGGGTGAATCGTCATAGTCTCGTGTTGGTGCCAGCGTGACACGCCGACTGTGTCGCCGTTGCAAGCTTAATGCTCGTGTGGAGAGGTGTCGTGTTCTTTGGATGCTTTTGCTGTCGTCGTGGTTTGTGATGTCCCAGTACTAATGATGAGTCTGGCCAGTAAGTGACTGTGGACCCTAGTGAAGCTTTGTGTGATGTTCTGTCGGTGTCGTGGATCCTGTGTTGGGGACTCTTCTTCGTCGGGCTGTCGGTGACAGGCTGTGCCAGCGAGATGGCTGAGGAGGGATGGTTCTCCTGGTGTTCCACACGTTTGAAATCCCAGTAGGCAATCAGTGAACGTGTGTCTTTGCTGATGATTGCTGTTGGGTTTGGTGGAACGGTTCCTGCGTCCTTGGTTTGCCGGGGGCCGGGGAAGCTGTTGACGAAGTGCAGGGGGTTATTTATGCTGGGTGTCGGGAGGCTGGGTGGCCCCAGAGCGGGGAGCCCTGGGTGTACGTGTCCCAGCCTCTTGCCAGGGGTGACAGAAGCGTAAATCCTCCTCTCGGGGAGGGTGAACAGTCCGAGAGAAATACGGGCTGACTCCAAAGAGAGAGGGATATTGAAGGTGTGGGTGAGATCCTTGGGAGGACAGCTGGCATGACCTGCAGGGAGGAAGCCGGGGGCTGTCCGTGCTCTTCCTCGCCGAGGTGCCTGTGGCGCTGCCTGCTCGGCAGCAGTGGTAGCCGAGGCAGCGCGTCCCTTCCCGCCCCAGAGGCTGGCTCTCGGGGATCGGTCTCAGACCAGCGTTACCCTGCGCTCCTCTTGCTGCCCTGCTGTGGGAGATGCTTGAAACGCCGCAGCTCACCGATGCTCTGTGAAACGCACGTTTTCTTAGAATATTTTGGGCAGCCAGCCGGGTTAAGAACTGCTCTGTGTGAGATGGCCTGGCCAAGTCAGGAGGGAAGAGTTTGAGAAGCGTGTAGGGGACGTGCTCCAAACCTTGGGGCTCTCCCGACTCCCATCTGAAACCGTGCTGGCTGCTTGTGCCTTCGGGGTGATATTTTGAAGCAAGTTTGGGGGTCAAAAGAGATCTCAAGAGGTCAGCGATGGCAAACGGATGGATTTGCTCATTTAACACAGGCTGTGAGCACGAGCTCTCCCACGTTTAACACTCTCCATCGAAAGCTGTTCTTAAAAATCCCCTCTTTGAGGTGGGGAAGAGAGCAGAGCTGCAGCAGTTCTTCTGAGTCTGTATTAATCAAAAATCCACTGTCTTGAGAAAGAGCACCATGTGTTTTACTCTCCTACATGCCCAAAATTTACCTTTTTTTCCTTAAGCATAAGACCCCACGTTTTTATATTAAGTGTGAGGAATTGTAGGGCCTGGCAATCAGTAAATAAATGCCCCTCCTTAAAGAGTCTTAAATTTGATGTACATCTTTAGCTTAAGGCACGCTTCCCGTTTCACCCATGAGAGCTGGTTTGAAGCAAAAGCTGCTGCGTGAGGGAACCCTGGCAAACACGCACAAATCTTTGCTTTTTAGGGCTGAGAAAACGCTGGGTCGTGTTCAGAGCAGGACTGAAATACCCGCTCCCCGATGTCAGCATACCACGGGTGCGTGCGCACATCCAGATCTACTGTGATAAATTTCCTATCTTTCTATCACTTTTCCTGTCCTTGTTCATGCTCAGATTGGGATTTATGAAAGAGGGTAGATTTGAATAAATTCAGAAGAATTCCGTTAAGTGATGCAAGCGAACCTATATATTTCCTTCCTGTTTTCTCGAGTGCCTGCCAAGTTCTGCTGCGTACAAACCCCTGCTTTCAGCGCTGACCGCCTTCCCCCCCGCCTGTCGCTTGGACTCGGCTCTCGCTGGACCAACCCCACCCCTTCACTCATTGGGCTCTGTCGCTGCGTCGTCGCGACACTTGTCGGGATAAAGGCATGGTTTTAGTGGGAGTCGGTCTCGTGGCCAACGTGCGCTAGAAGCACCAGTATACCACTTTGAAGATTTTTGTAGCCAAACTTATGATGCTTGCAGAGTTCATTAGATTTGTTGCATGAGAAGGTAGATGTGTTTGTCCTCTCCCACGTATTGTAATTGTTCTTTTACAATGGAGTGCCTTAATAATAGTTTACAAATACTGTGTATTTATGCTGAGCTGTTAAACTCTGCTGTTTGCTGTTCTCTTTTTTTTTTTTTTTTTGGTGCTTTTGGTGTTTCCAGTGGCAGTGAGACCGTTACTACTTCTGCATATCGACCTCCCGGCCCCGCTGAGCTCAGCGCTGCTAACCACTTCCCTTCTGCTCTGTGTATGGCAAAACCAAAAGGCTGCGTTGAGACGTCGCCATGCCGGCTGCAGCTCCTGGTGCCCTCGTTTATCTATGCATTGCTGCAGAAACACGGGTGGGGGGGTGTCTGGGAAGATGCCCCGTCGCTGGCCGGCCGTGCTTTGCTCAGCAGATTGCCGGCTGTGAATCCAAACCCAGTCCCGTTCTGTCAGAAAACCTGAAATGCACAAAACTGGCACCTTATTTCCAGACCAGGCTTTGTCGGTCTGTGCGATAGCAATAGCCGCCGTCCTCCTGGCTGTCCTTTCCACGAAGGTGGTGTTTGGCTCGGTCGTGTCCCGCTGTCCCCCTGGCAGGCATCGCCCGCTCTCTGCCGGGAGCCGGCTCCCGACCTGGGAGGTGGAGACCGTCCTGGTTAGACCCTGAGCACAGACCCGGAGAGGAGGGGTGGGTGAGTAACGTGTAGCTGTTCCAGTGCATTGCTGTACTCTACGATAACAAAGTTCCTTTTATTTCATGGTATTTCTTAATTCTGGTTTTATATTTAAATATGCAGTATCTTTTGTACTGTACGTCCGCGGTAGGGGATGCATAATGCACTTTTTTTTTACTTTTGTTTGTAAAAATGTACTGTATATTTTATGTGCTTCTTGTGAGAAAAATAAACTCTTTTTTGTTTCCCTTTTACAAATGAGCTTTGCAGCATTTTTGAAGGTGGGGAAGGATCAGCCCAGCGGTGAGGAACAGGCCTCGCAGGAGGGGATGGAAAGAAAAGGAGGTGATGGGCACGTATCACCTGAGCAGTGGCCGCTGCCTGGCTCCGGCAGTCCCCAGCCCCGTGTTCTCTCTTCCGCTCTGTCCTGGCTGCGCTCCCCTTTTTTGGGGGTCCTGGCTGTTTTCTGCCACCCCTGAAGGGCAGGTCAGGAGACGCCGTTGTCCCTCTCGGTTGTGTCCTTGCAGCGCTGGATGTGTTTAAGCTGCGCTGCCGGGACGGCGGCACAGCCTCACTTGTAGGTTTTTTTTAAGGGGAAAAGGGAACGAAATAGAAATATGGTTAATTCCTGGAGGCAGGAGTAGAGCTGAAATCTGTAATTTTCCACCTAGCCTCTTTTCAGAGACCCCAGGCTGGGTTTAAGGAGAAGCTGCTCACGTTTCCGTGTGCGTTCCCCGGCACCGGGCGGATGTTGGCAGCGGAGCGGTCGTGTGTGTGAAGGCGACGCCTGCGCCGTGCTGAGCCCTCCCTGCACGGAGCACGACTTATTTGGAGAGGGGCTTGGTGCTACCGCAGCGACGGGGGCTTTTTAATTCCCACAGACCTGTGCTACAGTCTCCTCCAAAGAGACATCCCCAGTGTGAAAGCTGAGGAGCAAAATCCTGGGATGTGGCTCTTCTGCCCTGAGCTGATCCTGCTGCCGCCCCGTGATCCACCCGAGGTGGGACCAGCCCTTCCCGGGCATTCACCAAATTTTGCCTTTAAAGGCAAACAGTGAGCATCTGTCTCGTGTGCCTGCGAGGAGCCTTGTTACTGCCCGGGATTGTTCTCGTTCTCAAAGCTGCTTCAGGGAGGAACATGTCAGTGTTTACCTTGGCAGGGTAGCAAAGTGCAGGCTGGGGATGCTCTCTGGCTTTGGCACACTTGCTAATTGCCTCAAAGAGTCGTTAACCCCCACCAGAAATATTTGCTTTTTAGGAAGTTTTTAGGAACTTTTTTAGGAGTTTTTTGGGGGTTGATTTGGCTTGGAGTTGGCACCCATCAGCGGAGCATGGCAAAGTGTGATTTGCCGCCTGCCCTCCCTGCCCCAGCACTCAGCCCGGCTGCCCTGAGGAGCTGGAACCCTCTCGGACCCCGGCAGGAACCGGCACTTGCCCCTAACCGTGATGTTAATTTGCCAACTCCTCGTGCGCACAGAGCTCAGGCCACAAACTCATTGGGGTGAATGAAGCGACTTAAGTCCTACTGCAGCCTTAGCAGAGCCTGGGTTTAAT